AAAGACCCTGATGCTGGGAAAGATTGAAGGCGGGAGGAGAAAGGGATGACAGAGGATGACATGGTTGGATGGCATCACTGACTCAATGGGCATGAGTTTGAGTACACTCCAGGAGTTGGTGATGGACAGGGAAGCCTGGCGTGCTGCAGTCCATGGGGTTGCAAAGAGTCGGACACGACTGAGCGACTGAAGTGAACTGAACTGATGCATTTCTTTTGTGATCTCTTAATTTAAAAAAAGCACTTTACGTGGTGCTTAAGACTGGTGTTTACGCCAGTCGTTTCAATAGCGTTATTTCAGGCGGTCGCCAAGCTCAGGTACAAACAGGACGCATCTGGACAAGATAAGTCCAGGTCTCACTGGGCACTTGTCACGCGAAGAGGAGTCCAGCTTTGACGGACATCAACGCGTGAAGCGAGGCCCTTTTCCACATAGACACTGCTTAGTATTAATACTTAACCACACGTGCCATCTCTGGAAGTTTCTTTGGTCAAGCGCAACAAAGCCTTTATGAACACCCTCTGAACACATTCACACCCACTTTGCAAGAAGCACAAAGTTGAGGGAAGACAGTAGCACACAAAAGCGCCCCAAGGGCTGGAAGCTTGGGGGGCCAGCACGGCCGGGCACTGCAGGGTCAACCCCCTTCACCCCGTCCGGAAAGCTAAGACAGTGCCTTGTCCTGCACAAGAGCCGCAGAGCCTCTTCCCCTGCCTCCCCTGCAGCCCCGCCCCAGACCCACATGAAGCACACCCAGGCACAGCCGTGCGCAGAGCGGGCCTTGCCCACAGCTGCCCAGGCCAGCAGGCTGCCCCCGGGTCCACAGACCACATCAGAACCAGACACGGGCTGAGGGGAGACCTGCCCTTCCCAGACCGCAGAGAGGCGTGCCACGCGCGTCCCTGGTAACCTCACGCCATGCTACTCACGGCGAGGACGAGCAGGAAGTGGACGACTGCAGGGCGAGCTGCGCACACTCCTCGACATGTCACGGGGCCTCAGCGATCAGATACCTCGATGTCTGGCTCTCCGCCCGACAGCGCCGACCGCCTCAGCCCAGGCAGGCCCTCCCCAGGTGGTGAGGGCCCCGCCGGGCTGGGGGCTGCAGAGGGGGACTCTGAGGCCCAGAGGCAGCCATTGGGCCAGGGCTTCTGCACAGACCTGATGGGGGGGCCTGGGTCCTCTCTTCATTTGCAGCAAAAAGCCAGCCCTGCCCTCCACGGGCCAGGGCCCTTCCCTCCGGGCCCCACAGGTCCACCCTGGGCCTGGACCCTGCAGCTTCCCTCCTCCTGCAGGACTGGAGCACGTGGACAGTGGTGGCCTGTCCCCTGCCTGCCGCACAGCTCAGGGCCGGGCACCCGGGGAGCGCGCCTGACCAGCGTGCTCCCTAACCACTGTGGAGACATGTGGGGAGCCGGCCGCTGCTTGGGCTCGGGGCCCTCCTTGGGAGTGAGCACACGTCCTCCAGACTAAGTACCAGGAACCCCAGGGACCCGAGCTTTCTGCCCTGTGACCTGGTGAGGCCCGAGCATCAGCGTCTGCCCCAGGGGCCTCAGCCCTGAGTCCGTAACAGACACACAGCTCCCCGCAGACACAGACTCTGTCCCCAGGGCCCAGAGAGGACCCCCGGGGAGCAGCAGTCGCTGACACAGTGCCCTGAAGGCTCACTCGCCCCAAAACTGCCCGTAAAGATGGAGGGAAGGCAGGTCACCGTGGGATTAGCTGAGCAGGTGTGTCAGCCTCTCAGTCATGTCTGACTCTTCACGGCCCGCGGACTGCAACCCGCCAGGCTCCTCCCTCCATGGGATTCTCCAGGCAAGAATACTGGAGTGGGGTGCCACGCCCTTCTTCAGGGGGGGTCTTCCCGACCCAGGGATCGAACCCAGGTCTCCTGCACTGCGGACCGCGGACCGACCCTTTACTGCCTGAGCCACCGGGGAGCTGAATGCATAGATGGATGGAAATTATTTAGAATTAGCAGCGACAAGTGTTTGAAAGTAGGTGCTTTGAGAATGACGCAGGACACCGCGCTGCACTCGGTTCCCCTAAGGGGTTTAGACTCGGCCGCTGAAACCTTGGCATCATTACTATTCCTCGTGGGCCAGGGCTGCCGTTTTAGAAGACAGACACTGCAAGCACGTCCTCCCCCGCCCGCGGCTCCAGGGGCCGTGGGCACCACTCACCACACCCAGGGCAGGCACAAACGCTCTGCACTCAGCGCACCCACTTTACAGAAGAGAAACAGGTCAGGAGAGCCTAAGGAATCTGTCATGGAGCTCAAGGCTGCAAATCAGGCGAGCTGCAGAACCACCAGCCACTCGCTCAGAGCCAGCCCCCCAGCTCCCTGGGTTCCACTCCCCCCAGGGCCAGGCCTCCTGGGGCAGGTGCCCGGGGTCTCTCCTCGCACAGGGCCCCGTTTGACTGACAGCGGTGTGGCTGATCCCAGCCCCAGCTGCAGAACAGGGCGTGGAGGACAGGCCTGGGACAGCTGACCCGGATCCCGACAGACGCCTCTTTCTGTGGAGCCTGCAGGCTCTCTCGGTGAGAGGCACAGCCCTTCTCGGCAGATGACGGGGGACAACCATGCGCTCAAACTGGAGGGCAGAGGGCAGAAGCTACGCTCGCGCTTTCACCAGTAAAGTGCTGCCAGCCTACGCGAAATCCCAGCCACGTGTGCAGACGCCGCCCTCTGACCTGGCCGGGCTCTGGGGACCCGGCCCACCAGGGTCCAGCACTGGGACGTGGCCCCTCCTTCCCACACCCGGGATGTGGGTCAAGCCCACTGGGGCTGAGCGGAAGCAGCACCCACCTGTCTTTCTGAGAGGGAAGTCGTCTTTGGCGTCGTACATGCCCAGGACCGGGTGGTTGTAGGAGGCCGACGCCCCGCTCTGGGGCGGGGAGCTCTGGTCCAGCGAGCTGTGCTGCGTCTTCCTGGAGAGAAAGGGCGGGGGGCAGAGGCTGAGTGACCCCGGGGGACCTGGAGCCCCAGCCATGCAGGCAGAGTGTCCCCCGGCGCCCACGAGGGCGGTTCTCCCCTTGACGCACGGGCCTGGCTCGGCAGCTGCCTCCTGGGAAGCCTGGCCTCCTCCCGGGGCAGGACCAAAACGATGGTACAAAACCGCTGGGGAGCCCGTGGACCCGGCCGCCTGCAGCCTCCCCAGGGCCCGTGGGCCTGAGGACGGCTGGCCCACGGGGCTGCACGCTCGGTCCAATCCCCGGGCTCTGCCCGGCCCCCTTGCTCCCAGTGTCTCCTGGCCTGGCAGTCTTCAAGCTGAGGGGGGTGTTACCCCCGGCCACCGAGGGGCCTGTCCTCAGGGGAGGGAGACAGGGGCTCCAGGTGCGAGGGAGACAGGTGCTGTTGGAGGCGGCTGAGACCTGGCCGGGGCCCGTGGGGCCAGAGCTGGTAGCCTCTGGGTCCTGGAGGGCAGGGGCCACGTGGGGGCAGGCCCCCTCCCGGGGACAGTCACCCCGGCCATCTCCCCTCCCCTGGGGAGGCAGGGGTTGGCGGCACCTTGGGCCCTGGGAACTGATCCCAGGAAATCTGCTTCCTTTGTGAGCCAGCAGACACAGCCCCAAATGGAATGACAGGCAGGGCGCTGCCAGAGGCGGCTCGAGGTGGGGTCAGGCCTCCGGAGGGGGGTGCTGGCCGCGCTGGCGATGACCGTCTGCAAATGTAGAGTCTCACTAGCAACACTGAAGGTGTAATGAATTCCAAGAGTCTGTACGTGGTGTAATCTGCTTAATGACTTGAAACAAATTAGCCAACTTACTTATTTGGAATTTGTTACACTATTTATTTGCATACACAGCACTCCACGTCCCCACGCACCTGGTGTTATTTGAATTGAGAATGTGAGCACTCAAACGCTTACAGGTGGATGTTTAAATATTTGAGAGAGTACATGGGTGCAAAGAACACGGTGATCACGGGCCCAGATCCACGGATCCCCCGGGCAGGGCCACAGCGGGCACTCAGAGATCCCTGGGGACGGGCCTGCTGCCCGGCTGCAGCCTCACTGCCCCCCAGGACGCAGGTCGGGGGCCAGGGCTGTAGGCTGAGGGCCGGACCAGCCACGCTCACGCCGGCTGATCCCTCGCCGCGTCGGACCGCCAGGCCTCACTCGGGAGTCCGGCCTGGCACGACCCCACTGAGGTCTGAGGGCGTCTCTGTACCCGGGTTCTCCAGGCCACAGCCTCCAGGGAACGTGGCCTTGGTGGCTCCAAACCGCGCAGTCGCTGCCGAGGTCTAAGCAAGGACAGAGTTCACTTTCTCCTTCATGAGAAGCTCGGAAAGGCCTGTATGTGTGTTATGTAATCTCAAAACATGGATAATTACGATTAATGAAACCTCGTAGGTAATAACAACTACTGTCATTAGATTCTGATGGTAGACTTTACAATTAAGCCAGAAGTACATTCAATGTAAGATCTAGCAGACTGTCTCCTCTGTGTTGATCTCTTGAGACGCCGTCAGTACTCAAACCCTCCCTCCCATCCGGCCTTCTCGTCTGGGAGCACAGGTGGCGGCTGGCCCCCGAGCCCCCAGTGGGCCTGCTCCATGACGTCCGAGAGGGAACTTGGGCCCGGGGCAGAGGCCAGGCTGATCCGGCAGAGCTGGACCCCACCAGTACCCGCGAGGATGGAGCCAGACTTCACAGCAGCCAGGCTCCCCTAGGCCTCCAAACACCGTGCAAAACAGAGGAAAACCGGCTCATCACTAGAAGCCGAGGCCTCCCAAGGAGCAGGGGCCACCGGCCCTCCTGGGGGACCTGGCCCTCGGCACAGGGCCCAGGGCGCACGCACGCCCCAGGGGGTGACGGCCGGGGGTGTGAGCAAGGGCAAGGCCTGTCCTTGGCTGCAGGGGCACGTGCACGCTCACCCCACCCGCACACGCAACCACGGCACAGGCACACACACTCACACACAGATACACACACACACACACACACATAGACACAGACACCCCCTCCCCCCACACACAGACATACACACCCTTGTAACACACATACCACACAGCCCATTTTGACGCCCTGGAACCCACGTGGCAGGCGGCTACCACGACGGGCAGCACGGTCTCCTCCGATAAGCCCGATGCTGAGGGTTCTGACCCATGTCCACTGCAGAACCACGCCAGTACAGCAACGAGAAGTGTCACCCCCACGGGAAGGGCCTCTGCCCCCGCCCCGGCTGCTGCCACCTGGCTTCCTGTCCCTACAGACTGGCTGTGCCGACTCTAGGACCGCTTGCAGACAGCATCTCAAGGCACAGACTCTGTGTCTTCTCCGAAGCCTGATGTTTCTAGGTGTGGGCACGCCGCCCTGGGCCTTGCTGAGCAGACGAGAAAGCAGGTGCCCGTGTCATCATCACCTGCCGGCAGACACTCAGCTACTTCCATGCTCTGGAGACACTGAGCAGAACTGCTCTGACCATCAGAACACAGTCACTGCCCGGATGGAAGACTTCACCTGCTCCCAGGGAAACACCTAGGAGACTGGGTCACGGGCCATGGAGTGGGCGTACCAGCAAGAACACTGGAGTGGGTTGCCATTTCCTCCTCCATGGGAATCTCCCTGACCCAGGGATCGGACCTTCGTCTCTTGCATCTCCTGGCAGGTGGATTCTTTATGGCTGAGCCACCTGGAAAGCTGGCACGGGGTTTGTTCAATTTCAGCCATCCCTGTGTGTGAGGGGGCATCTCGCTGTGCACTGCATTTCCGGGGTGACAAATGATCTTTGTGAAATTACTGGCTATTTGCATCTTATTTTGTGAGGTAATCAGTTCAGTCACTCAGTCGTGTCCGACTCTTTGCGACCCCATGGATTGCAGTATGCCAGGCTTCCTTGTCCATCACCAACTCCTGGAGCTTGCTCAAACTCATTGTGAGGTATTGGTGCATGTCTTTGCCTCTATTTTTTCAGTAGGGTGCTTGTCTTTTTGTTATTGAGTTGTGAAGTTAATTGCTACTCGCTCAGTCATGTCTGACTCTTTGCGATCCCAAGGACTGTAACCTGCCATGCTTCTCTGTCCATGGGATTTTTCAGGCAAGAATATTGGAGTGGGATGCCATTCCCTTCAGGGGATCTTCCCAACCCAGGGATTGAACCTGGGTCTCCTGCATTGCAGGCAGATCCTTTACCATCTGAGCCAACAGGGAAGCTCTTTGAGTTGTAGGACTTCTTTATATGTTTTGGATCAAGGGCTCAGTTGATCACATTCATAGTGAATATTTCGTTCCTGGCCTTTTTATTTTCTTAAGGGTGCCTTTCAAAGAGTGAAAGTATTAAGTTTTGATTAAGTTTACATTTTTGGTTTATAGTTGATGATTTTGGTGTTCAAAGATCTTGCTTACCTCTTCACCAAGGTCATGAAAACTTTCTCCTACATTTTCTTCTGGAAGTTTTAACAATATAGTTTTTATGTTCAGGTCCATGACGCCTGAGCTGACCATCAGGGGTGAAGTGAAGCTGGAGTCAAGGTGAAGTTTTTCTCTATAAAGACGGGTTTTCCAGCAACGTCTTGCCATCATGCAGCAAGTGGAAATGATCCACGATTTGGGTTGGTTTGTGTGACTAAACAAGAAGGCTGCCAAGTCCAAGGCAAACAGGCCCATTCCCTCTGACTCTACTGAAGCGAGTCCTTCTCCACTGCAACGGGCACAGCCCCGTCCCCTGGGAAAGAGGGATCTCCCCGGGCAAGCAAGCCTCCTCCAGGTCTGGGCCACCTTGCTCACCAGGGAGCTGCCGTGTCCACCCCTTTGGGACTCTGCCCCCAGGCCCAGCCTGTGTGCCCCCTCCTCCCCCTTCCAGTTCCCAGGTGCTCCTTGCTGACCCCCATCTCCCCAGCAGCCCCAGCGCAAGAGGTGATGCAAGCTCCCAGCCCATGGACTCTGTCTCCTCTTTACATGCAAGTACATCATCATGGCATCTATTCCTGGAGACTGGACGCCCCACCTCTCCACTCACAGGGGTCCTGACACCCCAATCTTCCCTTCACATCCCTGTGGCCACCATCCACGGACTCCGGCGTGGCCAGCCAAGACCCTTCTCCCACCACAACCTCCTCTGGGCCCACAGCCTTCTTAGCGCTGCTCCTAAAGACCCCTGCTGCTCTCAGACCAGGGCCTCTGCTGAAAAGCTTCCTGACCGGCAGATCACATCACCTCCCCCGAAGGAGAATCCAGGAGCACTGCCCACCTTTGCCTGACAGGCTACTCCCAGGGGTCCTGGCCCCCCCCAACCCCACCCAGCTTCTCTTCCTGCCCTGCCCAAGCTACTACAGGGCAGGGCATTTGCCTGGCGGCCCCCTCTACAAAGGAGGACAACAGAGCTTTCCAAGCACAAAACCCAGGGAGCGGTCACTAGTGGGGAAACGACGGATCAGTGCCGCCCTGTCGCGGGGCCCCCAGGAGCACGGCCCCAGGACTGCCCGCGAGCCCCCAGTGTCCAGCGCTCAGGGCACGCGGCCGCCGGGCGTGGCTCTGGGCAGGTGGTGGCGCTGCTGAGCCCGCAGCTGGCGGGTGTGGGTGCGGCCCAAGTGGCCGCGTGGTGCGCGGGCTGCCGACACTCGGAGCGGAGACGGCTTCAGAACCGAAACGCCCTTTAGGCCGAATCTATTGAAGCAAACAGGTTCATTTCAACGCAATTGGGCAGCATGTTAGCAAAAGGGTTGTCCCTCTCGGGGACAACCGAGAGCTACGCTTTCCCCCCGTGAATGAATGATGATTCCATTTTCATTTATGAAAACTGCCCAATGAGGCTTCTTCCAGGACAGAATCACCCTTGAAAGGAGAAGGAAGCTACAGCAAAGCAAAAAAAAAAAGGAAAAAAAAACCCGTGGGGCACCCTAGACCATGGTCTGAAGCTACAGAACTTTGTTACTGCACTTCCAGCTCGGCCTGGGTCAGTGGACAGACCCTAAGAGCTACACGTGGGCCCACAGGAAAGACCCAGCACACAAGCATTCCCGCCAACAAGTTCAAGTCCTCTTTGCCAGGCTCTTCGGCTTCTGAGCACAAACAGAAACTTTGTGGTCTCTGTCAGTTACGCAGGGTCTGGGAGAGGTTCTTAGTATAAAAACAATAAAAAGACCACAGGTGCTTTTGACTTGCCCAGGAATCAATAACACATTGGGCAGAAATTCAGTAGGTGCATACGGACGATTTAGACCAGAGTTCCGATTTAACAGGTGCCTTTTGTGGCCAAAAATTGCGTGAGAAGCCAAGAATAATGGTCAGACACCTGCCCCACGAGTTTCCCTTTAATGTTTGTTTAAAGAGCGGCCCCCTCGGCATCTGGACGACCGCCACGTGCACTGACCACTGGACCACTCGGGTCTGACCGCGTCTGCTGCTGGCTCAGGGAGCGGCTAATCCCACGTCTCCCGGATGGAGAACCGAGCGCCCCTCTGGTCTGCAGACCCCGTGTGCCCGGGCCTCTCCACTTACCCGTACCAGTAGCGAGGGTCACTGGACATGCAGTGGTTCAGGTTCCGGTGAGCCAGGGCCTTCTTTTTATTGAGGACAAACTCCTGCAGCTTCATCTTCACTTCCGTGCTGGCCACGGCACCTAGCGTGGGAGAGAGCGGGGGTGGGTGACTGGAGGCTCTACCCCAGGGCCCCCTGCACCACGAGCTGGAAAAGGCAGGACTGTGATGGGCAGGGGTGGTTCCCACTCAGGATGCCGCCAACACCAGAGAGCGTCTCATGGGAAAGAGGGGGACGGGGGCTTGAAGGGAGAGATCTTCTCCCAGGAACGTGTTATACAACTGCATTCTATTTAAAATGCAGACGGAGTCAGCACAAAGACCCAGCGCTACCTATCACAAATCCCCTGCGGAAGGAAGTTCTAATATTCTTCCATAAGAGGAGGGCCTGGGTTAGGAGTGCAGCTGTGTGGTTTCTTTCTCACGGCAGCAAAGACAGGCCGAGCCTCAGAGGAGGTTTTGTGCCAACCGAAGCACTGTTTGCGACAGGGACGAGTGACAGCGATGCGGCCCGCCTCGCGGGCAGTGGGCAGGCAGCCGGGGGCCTGGCCAGGCCTGCCCGAGGGGCAGTCGTGCTCTTCCCAGCCTGCAGCTGCCTCCTGAGGTAAGGCGTGTTTCGCCAAGCGGGGCTAAAGCCGAAATCCTGTGTTTTGTGGTTTTCTGGTGGTGGCAGCGGCTGTTCACAGCCCCATTGAAGAAAACTGGCAAATCTGGTTAACAGACACTGACAAAGGCCAAAGCCACCGCCCCGTCTCAGGGCCTCCGGCATCTGACCTGTCCTCCTCAGGGCTGCACCGAGACACCAGGCCACGTGGGATCCATCCTTCTGTGAGAAACACGGTGTCTTCCCTGTTGTCCACAGAATGCAAACAGCATTCGTGATGGTGGGAAAACGCGTCATGAGGTGAGCAAAGCCCAATTCAGAAAACCCGTTCCCAAACAGGAGACGGTTTCAGACATTTCCTTTTGTTGTTTTTGTTAGAAACAATGTTGGCCAACATTTGTGAGTAAATATCATCCTCCCACCACCTTCCCCGCTGGCTCAGATGGTGAAGACTCCATCTGCAACGCTAGGACAGGCATGGGTTCAATCCCTGGGTCGGGAAGACCCCCTGGAGNGAAGTACCATGTGACCCTACATCTCTACCAGTACTCAGGGAGTACCATGTGAAACCTATCTACCAGTACTTGGGAGTACCACCTGACTGAGTCTCTATCAATACTCAGGAGTACCACCTGACCTTGAGTATCCATCAGTACTAGGAAGGACCAACTGGTCCTTGTCTATCAGTACTCAGGAGTACCACCTGACTGGGTGTCTCCATCAGTACACGAGAGTACCACTTAATCTTTCTATCTATAATAGTACTCAGGAGTACCAGCTGACCTCGAGTACCCATCAGTACTAGGAAGTACCAACTGGTCCGTGTCTATCAGTACTTAGGAGTACCACCTGACCAGGTGTCTCCATCAGTACTCGAGAGTACCACCTGATATTTCTATCTATAATAGTACTCAGGAGTACCAGCTGACCTCGAATACCCATCAGTACTAGGAAGTACCAACTGGTCCGTGTCTATCAGTACTTAGGAGTACCACTTGACCTTGTCGATTAGCACTCATGTGTACCACTTGACCCCATGTCTTTGTAATAGTACTGAGGAGTACTACCTGATCCTTGTCTGTCAGTATTCAGAAGTGTCACTTGATCTTGTCTACTAGCACTTATGAGTGCTGACTGACCCAGCGTCTCTGAAACAGTATTTGAGAGTACCACTTGCTGCAAACGGCAAGACTGACTGACTCTCACTGCCAGGCCCTTGACAGCCACGGGGATGCATTGGCGATGCTCTGAAGTGAGGTACTTGACTCAGTCTCCTCTGAGTCTACCTGTGGTGTGTGCGGGTCTGTGTGTACACTTTACATTTGTATCCTTTAGCGTGTGTGTTAACACACTTTTTTATACAAATACAGTGTAATGCACGACTGTATTTTTGCAGTAATACACTTATTGTCAGCCATCACATGTTAAGGCGTATTTAAACCTCATCATTAATGCTGTTCAGTTCAGTTCAGTGGCTCAGTCACGTACGACTCTTTGCGACCCCATGGACGCCAGGCTTCCCTGTCCATCACTGTCTCCCAGAGCTTGCTCAAACTCATGTCCATTGAGTCGGTGATGCCATCCAACCATCTCATTCTCTGTTGTCCCCTTCTTCTCCTGCCTTCAATCTTTACCAGGATCAGGGTCTTTTCCAAGGAGTCAGTTCTTCGCATCAGGTGGCCAAAGGACTGGAGCTTCAGCTTCAGCATCAGTCCTTAGTCCTTCCAATGAATATTCAGGATTGATTTCCTTTAGGATGTACTGGTTGGATCTCCTTGTGGTCCAAGGGACTCTCAAGAGTCTTCTCCAACACCACAGTTCAAAAGCATCAATTCTTCCATGCTCAACCTTCCTTATAGTCCAACTCTCACATCCATACATGACTACTGGAAAAAGCATAGCTTTGACTAGACGGACCTTTGTTGGCAAAGTAATGTCTCTGCTTTTTAATATCCTGTCTAGGTTGCTCATAGCTTTCCTCCCAGGGAGCAAGTGTTTTTTAATTTCGTGGCCACAGGCACCATCTGCAGTGATTTTGGAGTGATCAATGCTGTAAGTAGGTATTAAACATCACCATGTGGTCCAGGGGGCACTGAGGATGGGCAGCCCAGGTGAAGTCGTTCTGATGTTCAGTCTCATGGGACCCCTGGCTCCTGGCTCCACACTCTGCTGTTCACACAAGGTCGGCCTTGGTTTCTCATTTCTCTTTAAAATGTGGCTTATATTCTGATGCTGTGAGGTAACAGAAAATACTTGTCTCTGCCCTCAGTCCCTGGCACAGAGCTCCCAAGATCCTGTAATTTCCTGAGTGATGAGAGCATGAGAAGCATCCTGTGTTCTAATGGGTTGACTCTGCCGGGGGCGGGCGGGGGGCTCCTGTGGGAGGAGGGTCAGCAGCAGGATCAAGCCTCGTGAGAAGCTCGGAATTCCCAGCTCCACCTGAATCCTCCAGAGAGGAGAGGGGCTGGAAGTGGAGTTGGTAACTGATCACACCCATGTGAGGAAGCCTCCAGAAACCAAGTGACAGCTTCCGGGTTGGTGAGCATGTCCATACCAAGAGGGGGCCCCCCGACTCCATGAATCAGAGGCTTCTGCACTTGGGACTCTTCCATACCACCCTCTGTATGTCTTCCTCAGGCTGTTCATCTTTTTAAAAAACTAAATTTATTTATTCATTCACTGGCCATGCTGGGTCTTGGACGCTGCCCGTGGGCTTTCTCTAGTTGCGGCAAGCAGGGGGCTGCTCTCTAGTTGTGGTGGGTGGGCTTCGCATTGCGGTGGCTTCGCTTACAGCAGAACGCAGGCTCTAGGGGTGCAGGCTCAGTGGTCGTGGCCCACGGGCTCAGCTGCTATGCAACATGTGGAATCTTTCCACAAGGAAAGTCCCCTGCATTGGCAGGCAGATCCTTACCCACTGGACCAGCAGGTAAGTCCCTCATCTTCTTATCTGACTCAGCCCTTAACCTGTGAGATCTGATGCCTCCTCTGAGCTAAACTGCAGGAACCCCCACCCAGTGCTGCAGGGAACTGCCCCTTGTGGGGAAATCCTCCACGCGCCTGGTGACCAGCAGTGTCGGGAGTGAAGTCCTCTGTGGGACCGGAGTGTACACAAGGCTAAGGAGAAGCATGAGACCAAAGAGCTGCACTTTCCCAACACTGGGAAGAAAAGATTTGTTTCTTCCTAACTCAAATATTCAAGAGCTTGTTTTTCTGGAGTCGGTTCTCGTTTTCTCATTGTGATGCTTTTTTTTTTCCCATTCCTGGAAGTTTTGAAATTGATCTTTACACTGGTTCGGGAAAATAATCAGTTTCATTTCATCCTTGTTTTTCTGGTGTTGGGTTTTCCTAAGTAGGTTCACATTAAAGGCAGCACTCCGCTGAGGCTGTTTCAGCATGGATTTCAGGGCGCCGTGGATGAGCGTCAGGCAGAACGAACCCTTTGGAAACAGTCGTCCCCACTGCAGCAGGACCGGAACCAGACCCGCCAGGGAGACACAAGGAGGGTGCCCGACACGGAGTGCACCTGGAATGGCCCACTGGGGTGCCAGGGCTTTTGTCTCAGGCCTTCTTGGTGTCCCAGGAGACGACCCGCCATCCTCGGAGCAGCAAGGCTCGCCCAGGCTCCATGTGTTAAGTGCGAGCAGGTGAGCCAGCCACCTGGCAGAGCGGCACAGACCAGGTTACAGACCCAGAGGCACCAGCAAGAAAGGCCAGGGGAATGGTGATGCGGCCAGGTAGGGGGAAGTGACCGGAAGTATAAAATCACACCTCCGCTTTCGAGCAAGGTTCCCTGGGCTCCCTCCAAATGCAGCCAGGGCTGGACTCGGACCACTCTGAGCACTTTCAGCCTGTCTGTGTCTGTCTCGTCTGAAAAATCCCACTCACGGAGATGCTGAAATCTGCATATCAGGTGCTCAACACGCAGCCTGCTGGCATTCCTGACGGCCTCTCAGCCTCAGGTGGACACTCGACAGAATGCAAATGGTAGGCCACAGCAGCACAGGGAGGGCCCCCCCACCGGGGAGGGCCAGGAGAAACGGGGACCACGGGGGGGCTTGGTGTCTGGCTGCAGCGCTGGGCCAGGGCCAAGGCCACTAGGAGGACGAGCCGCAGGACGACCAGAGCGCCTGTCCAAGGAGCTGACCCTCAGGTCCGTCCAAAAGGCCTGAAGGAGTAAACCAAGCAGACGGGAAGCAGGGTCCTCGGGGGACAGGACCCCACTCGCTGGGTGTCAGCTGGCTCGACTTGCCCAGGAAGCCCCGCGAGCATGGATGCACTGCCCCTGCAGAGCGCATGGCACGGGCCATGCCAGGCAACTGCTGGCCTCCCTGCCTCAGCCACAGCCCGGGCTTGCACCACGAGCTCCTGAGCTCTGAGAAGCAACAAGGACACATGTCCGGTGACAGCAGAGAGGGCACGCCCAAGGTAAACAGCGACGGGAGGGGCAGCAGGACCCAGACATGCGTGGGGGCACCTGCGCCGTCCAGGGAGGCAACCACTGCCCCTGGAGGGGACTGAGGTGCCTCCGAGGCACCCACCAGGCCAGGACATGGATGGTATTCCTGTTGCTTGAGCCGCCTACAGGGTCCTCACGGAGGAGGTGCATCTGACAGGCCCTGGGCCGCCGCAGACACACGAGGCCCTCGTCCAGCTCCAGGGTGGGAGAGGGCACCTTGCCAGGCTCTCATGGAATCAGAGGGAAACAAATGCAAGTCCCCAAACCCTGACTTCCTCCCCCATAAAAAAGACCTGGCAGTTTCCTTGAAAGGAGAGGACTCAGAGCAGACGATGCCGGCTCTGTTCCTCGTGCTCTAGATATACATGCCCTCGCCTCTCAAGAGACGTCTCCACCTTAAATGAAAGCTCCAGCAGTGACAAAACACCTTTAGTAAATGAGTACAAATGTTTTGAATTCTTTTACTTAAAAAAATTAATTTCTACTGATGATCACTCGTTCATCTGACAGCCTTACAGGGAATATACTATTTGCCAGCAGTGAACTAGTCGGCGGGGACAGAGGTAAACAAGATGCAGACAGCCTTCTGCCCCTGGGGGGTATCAGGGTAGTCAGAGGACAAGCTTTCAAGGAAATCCAGGCTGGGAAGGGGCTCAGGGTGGTGCCCACCTGGTGGGGGCAGAGGCCAGGGGCTCAGCAGTCCCTGGAGCAGGTGCCACCAGTCACATCTCCCAGGTTAGTGCCCGAGGAAGGAGTGCCTTACCCTACAAACAGGACAAACAACGACTCTCGAGGTCTGGTGTCCCATCTTCTAGCTCCATCTTTTTTTTCTTTTACATTTTTTTCATATTTATTTTTATTTTATTTATTTGGTCTTAGTTACGGCACATGAACTCTTAGTTGGGGCATGTGGGATCTAGTTCCCTGACCCAGGATTGAACCCAGGCCCCCTGCATTGCAAGTGGGGAGTCTTAGCCACTGGACCTAGCCACGAGGGAAGTCCCTATCTCCACCCTTTAGAGCCATTTTTAGGCAAAGCTAACAACTTCTCCAAGTGAGGGCGCCTTCTCCCCACCCCCCAGGCTGTGGCTGTAACTACCAGAGAAATATGCACTTGTGTTAGTTCCAAACTGTCCAGAGGACAAAGACAGGTCTTCTGTTGGACTTTTTGTTTTTATATGAATTTAAAGACAGTACCTCAGAGCCTTAAACATGGTTATATTAAATAAAACAGATGAAAAAGCATGTGTTCATGCTGAATAAGATGAAAACTGCCATCAACTGTAAGAATTCACTGTTTTACCAATCAATAGCATTAACTGGTATCAATCAGGAAAACTGCAAAATTATTTAAAATTAAAAGCACCATGAATGTTAAATGTAACAAACCTTTCAATGAAATATTCAAAAAGAAATTCATTTTTTAAAGAACCCCAAGAAACGACACAACGGAAGCTCTGCACTACATTTTCAAATGCTTACAAACTGGAGATGCTAACGCCAGGGGCTCTGTGAGCTACACAAACAAGAATCTCCTTCATAGGTGAGGTCCAAGCAGCGTCCAGCGTGCGGCCTGCCAAGCCTGCCTTCTCTCAAGACCACACTCTGAGGGCTGTAGGGCCGATGCAAGTATGCCAAGTACCCACTGTACACAGTCCCTTATTAATAATAAACCTGACCACCCAAACCCACGAGATGAACCGCTGGGGCTGCTGCTGTGACGAGCTTGGAGGGGAGCAGAGAACATTCCTACAGCCCGTCAAGGGGCTGCCTGACAGACAGAAGAAATTGTTTTTGACTTTGAACAAATTGAAACTGTTTTCAGAAGTCAAATCTTTTCATATTTTGTGAGGCCTGAGATGTTATTTTTATTGGAAGTTTCGGGCAGATGGGGAGGAAGCACTGGAGACCAAGCTGCCTTTGAGCGACCTGGTGAGTCCCTGGGTTTGCTGGTGAGCCGGGCACACAGAGACTTGCTGACCCTCACCACCTAGCCCTCGTTCCTCAAAGAACAACCTACCATCGCTGCAAAGAAGAGCCCGTGTAGGATCACAACAAGGCGCTGGCAGAGCAGAAAGCCGGGCAGAGTACAGGGCNGAGTCATCCTGGGAGTATTAGAAATGAAAGCTGGTGCCCACCTTCCGCCCCAGATAAGTCCATCATGACAGCCTGTGTGCTGGTGCTTTGTGACATCAGTGCTGCAGGCTCAGGTGCGATCAGCACCCCAGGCATACCCTCAGCACGTGTGGTGGTTGAGCAGCCTATGGTGTAGACCAGCCTCCTGATGTGGTTGAGCCTGGTGGTGTGGACCAGCCTGGCAGGTGGCAGATGGGAGGCAGAGGGCAGGGAAGTGGGGACCAAGTGTGATGGGCACGGCCTGGCGGTGCCGTGATCTGTATTCACACAACAAGGTGCAGGTGGCCAGCCAAGCTTGCAAGCCCGCTTCTCCTGCCAGCCTTCCACCCTCATTTATGAAGTCTCGACTGTGGGCTCCCAGTGAGTCTGTCCGTCGTCCTCGCGCCTAATCGCTGTACTGTAATGAGCTAGCCCACTCGGATTTACCGATTCAAATACTGGCACACAAGTTAGACTTCATGTGGGAAACAAACTCTGCTGACCTGCTTTCTACACTGAAATTCTATTGGACAGTGAAAGTGAAAATATGCTTAAAATCCATTTATTATTTCAAGAGTGAGTGCTGTAATAACTGACTGGAAAAGCTGTTAATTTTGTGTATAAAAAAAATGACTAAGAACATGCAAATAAACAGAGACATAAACTGAATATGAAGAGACTACATTAGTTACATCCTTTTAGGAAAAATAATACACTTTTTGAAAGAAATTATTTATAAAAACGTACAAAATAATGTAGGCATAATAATACAGATTAGATTACATTTTAATTTAGAAAAGACCAGTGTAAGTTAGGCTGCATTAGAGCTGAGACTTCTGTGGTTTCAAAGGCACCACCAGGAGAGGGACAGGGCAGGTGAAGGAAGACCCGTGCGACACCCACAACCGACCAGAGAACGGGCAAGAGTCCGGAACAAGGACCCTGCTGGACGGGACATCCCCATGGGCAAAAGCCCAGGAGAAGACGCTGAGTCCCACTGTGATCAGAGGAAGCAGCTGAAGCCAAGGGGCCACTGCTCAGAGCTGAGATTTAAAGTCACGGCAGGGATTCAGAGCTATAGGACTCCTATGATGTCATTGATGGGGTGACAAGTGGTCCAGCCACTGTGGAGACTGGCCTCACCTATGGAAGCTGACCTGCTCCACAAGACATGGCCAAGGGTGCATGGAGCAGCAGTGTTTGTAAGGGCCCGGGAACAGCCCAAACATTCACCGACTCTTGAGTGGATGGACACAGCTGCGGGGACCTCAGCAGGAAGCAAAGCCCCCTGCTGCACAAGGACACAGCAGACACCACACGCATAATGTGGGGTGAAAGGAGAAAAACACAAAAGCCTACATGTCAGCGCATCCACTGACATCAGCTGCAAAAGCGGTGTCACGTGTCGGAGTTGCAGGGCCGAGGGGTGTGGCGGCGTCTCCTGAGCTGGTCGCAGGTGCTGTGTTGGGGGGTGGCTGCACAGTGATGTGTGCTGGTGCCTAATTCCCTGCACACGGAAGCCTGTGCACTTTTCTTTACGTACAACACACACCAGTAAGAAGACTTTCTAAACAATGTCAACTAATAGACTTTACGAGAATCTTTAAAACATCTTGTGTGTGTATCTCGTGTGTATGTAAAACTGTGCATATAAATAAACTTTAAAAGCTTATTAAAATGACTTTTATAGATGGCTAACCACTTTCAGTGTGTGCCCGTGTGCACAGTTGCTGAGTCATGTCTGGCTCTTTGCAACCCTTTGGACTGCAGCCCGTCGGGCTCCTTTGTCCACACTGCAGTGGGTTGCCACGTCCTCCTCCAGGGGATTTTCCCCACCCAGGAATCAAACCTGCGTCACCTGCGCCTCCTGTGACTCCTGCATTGCAGGTGGATTCTGTACCCGCTGAGCCACTGGGGGAACCCAACCAATTTCAGCAGTTGAGAATAAAGGAGTTTCAAGGTTTCTGGAGGTCAGTATGTATTGGTAAATTGTGTAAAGACTTCTCGTTTTACTCATAAGCATGAGAAGAGTAAACCACCATCCGATCAAGACGTCGAATCCCGACATGGGGAGAAGTGTGCAGCCTGACGTACTTGCAGGATTAACAGGGCACCCACGAGTGCACCTGAGCACTGAGGTCTTGGGGGAAAGGACCAGAGCCTGGGAAAATCTACCTAATTTCCAGAGACTAGCGCACAGAAGAGTCTCCTGGGTAAGATCAAGTTGGGCGTCTCCTGGAAGATAATGGACTCTGCTGGTCTTCACACAAGCACAGCCAGGATGGAAAGCAAACACTGGGGTCAAAGGGCAAAAATGTGCAACCCAGGGGTCATAGCTCCTCCTCTCGAAGATAGGCAGTCCAACCAACTTCCACTCACAAACGCTCTCAGACAAAGCAACTTTGAAAAAGTTGAGGCTGAACTCCTAGGCGAAGCTCACTGTGATGGTTTACGGGTCTTAGTCATTTCTAAGTCCGCCAAGGGTCTGCAAACTTTCCTGCAAATGCTTAAGTCACACCAAACGTGGGGCCAGATGCCCTCTGCAGTCCCCACGTGAAGACAAAGCCGGGGAGCAGCCCTGAAGCGGGGGCACCCAGGAACGGCGCTCCAGGAAGGACACGGTGGGGGGTGGCTCCGGACACAGCCAGGCTCCCGGGATGGCGGGTTAGGGGAGGGTGCCCGGGGAGGGTGCCCGCGCCCGCCCGCGCCCGCCCGCGCACTCACTCTCTTTGCCCTTCTCCTTGTTCTTCAGCTGCTGCAGCTTCTGCTCCCGGTGCTGCTTCTCCAGCTCCTGCTCCTGCCGGTGCCTCTCCAGCTTCCGCTGGTGCTCGAGCAGCTCCTGCTGGTGCTTCATGGCCAGCAGCTCCTGCTGGTGCTGTGGGCGGGAGCAGCAGACACAGACCGTCAGAACCTTGCCCCAGGGGAGTGGCATGCGCGAGAGGAGCGGCGGGGCCAGGGCTGCCTCGCTGCCCCTGCAGGGCCAGCATCGCCGGGGGAAACAGGGCTGCTCCAGGGCATCTCCTGCATGTTTCACACTAAAGGCTGCAAATGAAAATAAAAACTGCTGACCTCCTGGAAGAAAATACGCATGACGATTTATGCAATCTAGGAAGTCGGCAGTCATGTACGGATGTGCGAGTTGGACCATAAAGAAGGCTGAGCACCACAGAATTGATCCTTTTGAACTGTGGTGCTGGAGAAGACTCTTGAGAACCCCTTGGATGGCAAGGAAATCAAACCAGACCATCCTAAAGGAAATCAGTCCTGAATATTCAATGGAAGGACTGATGCTGAAGCTCCAATACTTTGGCCACCTGAAGAGCTAACTCATTGGAAAAGACCCTGATGCTGGGAAAGATTGAAGGCAGGAGGACAAAGGGATGACAGAGGATGAGATGGTTGGATGGCATCAACAACTCTATGGACATGAGTTTGAGTAAGCTCTGGGAGTTGGTGATGGACAGAGAGGCCTGGCGTGCTGCAGTCCATGGGGTTGCAGAGCCAGACACAACTGAACGACTGGATATGCCTTTTTGAAAGTGACACAAAAGAGCGTGAAAGAGTGTGTCCACTTTGCAAAACTGCTTGGTACATTCTTACAAAGTTAAACGCATACCCATCCGAGACCCAGCAACTCCACACCCAGGACTAACCCAAGAGACGTGGGAACACATCTGGGCAAAGCTCTGTGCAGGACCATGTGTAGCCACTGTGCGCACAGCAGCCCCGTCTGACGTGCCCCCGATGTCCTCCAGACGTGAGCCCGGGGGCAGGGGTGCATGTTCTGATATGAGAATCCCACCCAGCAATGAGAAAGAATAAACTGCACATACTGGCAAAAGCAAGGATGGACTGTGAAACAAGGAAAATGAGCAGGTCTGGTGTCAGCTGTACAAATAGGACAGAAAAGAGTTCACCTGCAGATTCTATTTACACAAAGTTCTGGAACAGGAGATAAACTCTAAGACACGGAGATAAAGTCAGAGAAGGCTGCTTCTTGGGTGAGGCAGTGGACGAGACGGGGCAGCCGTCCAGGGTGTGAGCCGGCTGGTGGAGGCAGCGTTTACACAGACACTCATGACTGTCCACGAACACATACTCAGGATGTGTGCATTTTGTCCTGCGTAAGTTATATCAGGTTTTCAAAAATGACATAACTGACAATGTAAAAAGCTACCTTCACAATACATACTGTCAACAAAGTTAAAAGGCAAAAGGTGAATGAGAAAAACTCTTTGCCATACTTATGGTGTACACATCAACTTTTATATGCAGATGGCTGTGTTTCACGTTAATAAGAATATGATAAGCAGCTCACTAAAAAGGTGAGAAAAAAAGGCCAGGAGATTCACCAAAAAGAGTTTAGTCGCTCAGTTGTGTCCGACTCTTTTTGACCCCATGGACTGCAGCACGCCAGGCTTCCCTGTCCTTCACTATCTTCAGGAGTTTGCTCAAACTTGTAGGTTGAGTCAATGATGCCATCCAACCATCTCATCCTCTGACACCCCCTTCTCCTCCTGCCCTCAATCTTTCCCCAGCATCAGGGTCTTTTCCAAGGAGTCAGCTCTTTGCATCAGGTGGCCAAAGTACTGGAGCTTCAGCTTCAGCATCAGTCCTGCCAATGAATATTCAGGACTGATTTCCTTTAGGATGGACTGGTTTGATGCTTTTGAACTGTGGTTTGGGGACAACTCTTCAGAGTCCCTTGGACAGCAAGGAGATCAAACCAGTCACCAAAAAGAGTGGTTAAAAATAAATCGGAAACAACGTTCAACCTCACTAGCCATCAAATCCCATTTTCACTTAGCGTGTTGGAAAAGGTAAGCACAGACAAGCCGGCCAGCGCTGACAGGGGTGTGGGAGAGACGTGATCAAGCCCAGACGCCTGACAGGTTTTCCTCGAACGTCAACCAGACAAGCCCTCCGCTGGCAGCCAGGGCTGCCTGCTCCCTCTGGACAGCCCCTCCGCCCTCCGTCTCTGTTGCCCCATCCGACTCTCAGGCTCCCAGCCGTCTGTCCGGTCCCGTCCCGCCTCCCCGCTCCAGGGCTTCCACACCAGCCACATGGGGCCTTGGGAAGCCCCGAGAGCCTCCCCTGCCATCCTAGCCACCTGCACAGGGCAGGCCTCTGCCCACAGCACCTACCGGGGGGGCGCGTGTGTCCCAGGCGCGACTCACTCCCGACCCCTCTCCTTCCCGTGGGGAGGGACGGGGCAGGGGTGGGGTGGGGTTGGCAGTGATCTGTCTCCTGCGACGGCCCAGGACTCTCCGTGGACAAGCATGCTTCCCCCCACATCAGCCACCACGCGCGTGAGACGCAGCAGGATGGACATACCCGTGGCCACTCCCGGGGGCCCTGCGGACACCTCCTCACAGGCCCGCTGTGGAAGAGGAGGGATGGCTGAGCCCCGACTGGACGGAGCCCGAGCAGGCAGATTCCAGCTGTGACACACACACACACACATGCCCCTGTGGTCACAGGGGTGCCCACACACACAGCAGGGCACCCAGGGCCCCGTCCGCAAGCCCTGCTGCCTCCTGCCTTCCCTGGAGGGGAGAGGGTTCCTTTCCAGCTGGGACCACGGGGGAGAGAATGCAGAGGGGTGGGGGTGAGGAAGCTCAAAATCAGCGCGGGAGGGAGGGAGGGAGAGGGAGGTGGCCGCTGGATGGAGGGTGCCAGGACGGGGCTCACGCAGAGGAGCGAGTGTAGACGGCCCCCAAGCAGCAATGCCGGCCCCTGCCCCCAACCGAGGGCCCGGGGCTCCCAGGCCACATCACGCAGCAGGTCGAGCGGTGACCGGCAGGAGCGGATGCCCAGCTCAGCGCCCACCCGTGAGCTCTATGCACGCTGAGCATCACGGCCGACCTCTCTCTACGGAAGAAGCAAAAACAACCACCTTCCCAAACAAGCAGCTGACAGGAACTGGGGGCAGGAAGAAGGTGGCAGAGGCCTCTCTGGGTGGCCGGATTTCAAGAGTAGATCTACACCCTGGCTTCCCAGGTCTGCAGTGACTGCTGCCCTTGGTCAGCACAGCTGCGTCTGACCTTCAGCGCTTCAAAACCGGTGTTACTGTGCGTGTCTGTAAGATCAGCTCCAGAACTTCGCAAATGACTTAAAAAGTGGTGTTTTCTTCTCTTCTAAAAGGAACACGGCATGACACCACTGGGACAAAAGAGTGAACGAAGTGGAAATAAGCCACGTCCCTTGTTACTAGTTTCCTTCCAGGAAGGAGGGCTGCTCACCCAGGGAGGTTCTTCTACCAGAGGAAACATCGGTTGATTCACCTGGATTCACAGGATCCCGCCTTGGGGCCCGATGGCACTGTGCCCGATGTCCAGGGTACAGGCCCTCATGGGCATCACCAGGCCACTGCCAGTCACTCTGGGATTCCACCAGCATCATCGGCCTTCGGAAACGGACACCTCAAAAGGCTGTCTGGTGTCGGGAAGCAAAGATGGTGCCCCGGAAGCAAAGATGGTCTTGGAATGAAGAACCTGGCGCTCTTGGTATTACCTATCCCCCCAAACTGCCTACACACAGCCCGGGTTCCCTTTCAACTGCTCAGCGTTCATTTAATGCATAAATGAGGCACAGGCAGAAATCTGCTGAATCTGGTCTCACAATATTTACGTTTCAGCCAGAACCCAGAAAAGGAAAGTGAGATCTTTCAATTATCATTACAAAGAGACTGGAAACAACCACCCTAGATCCCAGTGATTAAAATTCACGGGATAACACAACTCGCAGAAAACAACTGTTGCGCAGTTTTAATGAGGAGCATTAAGAAACCACGCCTCTGGCATCCCCAGTGTCATGGCATGAAGGAGAAGGGCGTGACAGAGGATGAGATGGCATCACCGACTTGATGGACACGAACTTGGGCAAAGTCCGGGAGATGGTGAGGGACAGGGAGGCCTGGTGTGCTGTAGTCTGTGGGGTCGCAGAGTCGGACACGACTGGGCGACTGAACACAAGGGTCCAGCATGTTTTCTGCCCCAAGCTCTCGTGCCCACACAGGAGGGATGCACTTAGCCCAGGCCCCAGGGGAAAGCGGCGGCCACTGGCAGCTGCCCAGGCACCCACCTGCTCTAGGCCAAGGGCGGCTGGAGGCTCACCTGGCCCGTCTCAGCAGGGCTCCTGGCCGCAGGTGGTGGGCACCGCCTGCTTCTGTCGTCTGCCTCCTCTGCTGACGGCCCAGGCTGGGGAGACCCACAGCTGCACACAGGACAGCCTGGGCCGGCGGGGCCAGGACCGGAGAGCCAGGCCGGGCTCCGTGGGAGCTGAGCCGTCCCCCAGGGCTAGGTCCACCAGGGGCCCAGGCCACGCCCAAGCTGAGCAAGTGGGCCGGCGCGGAGCCTTCCCAGCTCCTCTAAGTCACTCGTGGGACTGTCTCCTGGGGAGGCTCTACCTCAACACGCAGCGAGGGCATCAAGGGTGCATGCGGGGAGCTATCCGAGGCCTCTCACCCCCGCCTCCAGCCGACACAGTGGCCAATCTTGCCACCCACATCCTGTGTCACTGTGAAAATAAACACACGGATTTCAGGTGGGCCCTCACCGCAGAACACACGGCGCTATCACAGCCTAGCACAGCCAGGGCAGGGCGGGGGTCACCCTGGGGGCACAGGGCTGCCACGGTGAAGCCCACATCCACCTGAGGCCGGATCCGGAAGCTCTGTGCATTGAGCCCCCACAGGCGGCGGTCATGGAGCTTTTCCAAGGTGGTCAAGGAGCTTCTAAGGCTCCGGTGGCCTGCTTTCGGGGAGAAGTCCAGGGCAGACCAGTGAGCCCCAGGGGCCAGAGCACCAGTTTAATGGAGGGGCCTCCTCTGGGTTGCTCATCTCCAGGCTCATGGGCGACTTGGCCACAGTGGTCA